TTGGAAAGTGTAGAGGGAAGGAGAGTGTTTGAAGATTTTTTGGGAGTGTAAAAGCTAAAACGATTAAGTTTGGAACAATTTATAAGCTCGTGGGAGTTCAAAGGACCTCAAATCAGCATTAAAGAGCTGATAGTTAGTGGGACACGTGTTCCACAAGGGCCGTTTGATGAAATGTGGGCAGTTAATGCCTAGTGCACGATTTTCTAGGATCTAGGAATCGTGATGATGGCTAGAGATTGTGGCATGCTTTGATGAGACATTTTTCAGAAACTGCTATGATGATCATGACGTCATAAGTTTTTGGAATATTAAGAGACATCAAAAATATGCAAAATTCGTTCGAGGCGTCGAATGATACTATCAAAAAATGTCTTTGTTTTCATTGATGTCGAAAATGGAATTTTTAGGGGGCAATTTGTTGGCTCTTAATTTCGACGCCTGAATGGAATTAAAAGTAGGAAATAGAGTTCCTGAAGAAATTTAATTATTTCGACTGGAGCCATATTTTGGAATGGGAGTGGAAGGCGTCCTTTCGCCAGGAGAATCTATGTTACGGACTTAGATATATTTCTCAGCAGTTGAAAGATTTGATTCGATAGAAGTGTCACTAAGGGTATTTTGACAAAATCATTTGAATTCAAATAAAAGAGGAAAAGTCTGTTTTCATCTATTCCTTAAAGGAGATACGTGGAATGCTTCTAGGATTCGAAGGCATGCATAGCAAAACTTGTCTCGATTTCGTTTGCTAGTCGTTAATGGCAGTTATTTTTTATTATTATAAATAGCAAATCTTAGTGTTAGGATTTGGGTGTGTTCAATTGTGTACAAATTCTTCAGTATACTTCAAGTACCCGTGTATTGAGAGAAACGAGTTTGTAAGAATGTATGTTGATGTAACACCAGCTTTTCATTTCAATTCAATTTAATAAATCTCTTTCTTTATGCAAGTTATTGCCTTCATCATTTACCAGTACTTCGATTTTACTTCTTGTCACCTAAATTCATTTACATTTGAGATAAGCTACTTTATCATGAACTTTGTCGAAGTGTTCATAGTTTTTATAAACTTTATTTAAGATCAATTAGCACGTGTCCTAGGATTTGTGTGGTCGATCCTGCAAGTAAAACAAATCTATTTTTTGATTTGTAAGACCAGCGGTTATTCGCCAATTTTCACGGCGAACAGAGATATTTATAGAAAGTGTTCAACAGAGTTGCTCTCCAACTATATCTCTCACATCCATCCAAGTCGATAAATAGTGATAAATATTGTGGCTAAGCGTAAAAGTCTTGTTGGCAAAAATCATGCAACCTACCAGCATCATCATGTAGGTTATGGTGGAACAATCCCATCTAGAAGCATATCGATGACATATAAATAAATCATACATTCATTCCAGCTTATAATAAGCATCCTTGTAAGACCGGACCTATGATGTTGCCTCACTAAATGGCACACTCCTAAATAACCAATGGCAAGACCAACATCATAGTCTTTAGTGACACCTCGAGAGGCTCAGAACTCGCCCCTGATTGGAAGGAGAAGCAAACAAGAAACGTCGTCCATAGTAATGCTCATCTCACCAAATGGCATGTGAAATGACGATGTATCTGGATGTCATCTCTCTGCAAATGTTGATACCAAGTTTTAGTTAATACTCGACAAAATAGTTCTCTTGAGTAAAAATAGACTAGATTCAGTCAAACACCTCTCCATCTATCTCAGAGGGAAGATAGCGAGGAACTCATCCCATAAGCTTGACCTCGTGTCCAACAACCTTGAGTTCTTTCTTCGGATCTCTCTCTTGAAAACAATTTAAATTATATATTATAAAAATTAAAATTAAAATTAAGATTTATTCAAAATAAAATAATTTTCAGTTACTTACCTCGTTGAACCATATATGGAAAGCAATATGATACTTGTACATTACCAGAAGAGATGTATCTTACGACCCTATTAGAAACCATAACAGTTGTGGAGCATATGCAAATCCACTTATATTCTCATCCTCACAAACCATTGGTTGTCGATCGCCTCATCCTACACCAACACGTACTAAGATCTGAATGTCACGTCCTCAAGTTCGCACCACTAGCAAAAAAAAAAAAAAAAAAAACACATTAAGAAATTTGCAAAGAAAAAGTATTCAAACTGAAAACCTTTATGAAAGGTATTTGGTGGCTAAAATATGAACCCAATCAAAAAATTAAGCACAGTGTTATATGGTGCTAATTTCCACTAAATCAAATAACTTTGTAAAAGATTTTCCGTGACTGAAAATGCACCAAACTGAATAACTATATTGAATGATATCCGGTGTTATTGTTTACTATATTGAATAACTTTGTAAAAGATTTTCGATGGATTTCATGGACCAAATAACTTTGTCTAAGACTTCTAGTGGCTTTCAAAAATAAGATAATTTAACTTACTATATGACTTTCTGTTTGATAACTGTGGATCGGAGAACTTGGTAAATGATTTCCTGTATGCGAATTTTTCTCTCAAGCTCTGACAACTTAAAAGAGTGAGTGAGGGAACAAGAAAAAAATTGGAACAAATAACTATTTAAACAGGGGCATTTTGGTCAAAAATGATATAATGTAAAAGTAGGGAGATAAATGTTAGGGTATGAAGTAAAACTTTCCTAATTACACAATGGTGAGATATTCCCATCAGATCAGCCATGTAAATTGAATTTATCTCTTTAGGACAAGAATCATGAATTGGAATTGGATGTCTTGCGTAGCTCCTAAAATGGCCAAAGCATCCACACATTTGTTGGCCTCTCGATAGATATGTTGAATTTGAATGTCCTAGTCTTTATTATCTAACAATGTCTTTATTTTGTTGATCAACCATGTTCCACATTTTAATCTATAGGATGAAGATGATATAGTCATTACTACATCAATGTTATTCACTTCAAGCTCAACTCTCATGCAACCTTTGTCGTATGCATATTTTAATCCTTCGAATACTCCCCGAAGCTCTGAAATCTTGACTTTGCAAACTCCAAGCTTTTTTGAGAAACCTCCTTTCCACATTCCATAATTATCTCTAATGACACCTCCACAATCAATTATCCCTTGCCTTTTAGCCGTTATATCTGTGTTGATTCTTGTCCACTCCTTATCTGATGGTATCCATTTTATGTTAGACAAAGTTTCTCATATTGGTGATGGATCCTGCAAAACAATACTGTTAGAGTAACATATAACTAGTATTTCAATTTTCTTGTATAACAGAGGTGGGAGGACTAAGTCTTCAACATGTTCCTTTTGATTCCTTCGATGCCATATGGTATAGCAACTTGTAGCCCACACAGCTGCCCTCCATTAGATAGGTTTTGCTGGAAGTTGAGCCCGAACTATTTGCGATGGATAGATTTTGCTAGAAATTGAGCCTAATCCATTTCTGCATATTCAAATTAAAGAAAGTTTTCTTTCCAGATCTCCTTAACCAATGTTATCCAAACATGTTTAGCCATTCCACAATCTCTCAAAGCATGCAAAGATGTTTCAACGGTATCAGTGCAGTCTACACAATAAAGATGTTTTTTTTAGATCTTTGATATCAAGTTTTACGATCGACTAATTTAAAGGGGATAACTTCGCCGTCCACTTGTGCGGGTTCGTTTAAAGGCAAAACAAATCTCTGTATAGACATAGTTCAACAAATGAATTGTTTGCGCCGAAAAAAATTTCGTTTCAAAGACCTTGAGAGTAGGCTAATTTTTGGGATTTACGCAATAAGGATTGAAATTATTTAAAAGTTGGTTTGTTTTTAACCCTAAATTATTTAAAAGTTGGTTTGTTTTTAACCCTCCTTGTTGCACCAACCACAAACACTCTAACCCTTTTAGTTACCATGAGTTCCATATTTGACTTTTTATGTATAATTGAATTGGAATTCCTGCCAACCATATTCCATATTTGATGAATTGGAATTCCTGCCAACCATAATATCATAGACACTACTTATGGTGAATTTAGCCTTTAGGACGAATATTTTCATAGTTATTTAAAACCGCTTTAGTACGGATTCATCTGTAACGACGAAAACTACACTTTTTCTCTTTCTCTGTAAAAAATACATATTGGAATGTGATTTTTAAGAAAACCGTGAAGAGATGGAAGTAGCTCTCTAACATAACCTTAAAAGTCCATATCATAGGCGCAAGTGGGCAATAATGTGATGAAAATTATACTCTATTTAGTTGCAACAACTCTACAGACGTGAATTTCTTTAAAATATCCTTGAGGTGTTTAATTTAAATAAAAACTGATTCATTTTTTCATTTGTTTAGGAAAAAAGTTTGAAACAAGACCATGTATTTTCTCCTATAAAAACTTCGTTCCAGATTTAAAATCTGATCTTTTAAAAACTTCGTTCCAGATTTAACTTACAGATAAGTAATACTATAAACTAACCCTAACTTTATTTAAGTTATAAGTTAAGGCATATACCCATGTTTGCAACCTGGTATATTCTGATGCCTATGCAAGCTTTGTCCTATATAAATAAAATTTCCCCCCTAAAAATGAACCTCTACGAGTTATTCGTTTCACAGTATCCAAACTTAAAAGGAGAAAAGAAAAGAAAGCATAAATACGCATTAGCTTCTTCTATCCTCAATCGTAAGAAGTGGCCACGACAGAAAATAAAAACAAAAAATAAATATAATAAACAACAGCCAATATAAAAATAAATAAATAAAAAACCCACAATCACAATAATTTATTACCATAATAATTGGTCGCAGAAGCAATCAACCAGTTAAAATCGCATCACATCAGAAAGTAACAAATATTGGTTTGAAGAAAATAATATTAATGACTAAAGACCAAAAACTAGAAGCAAAAAATTGTAAAAGGCACCAAAAGAATTGCTTCTATATGTATATATGCAATAAATATATAAGGGTATCATCCCCCAAGACAAACACCTAATGATTGCTTAGCATCGAAGCAAGTTTTTTAACTCTGGAGTGTCCTCAGAAACCATAGTTTTGAAACGAAGATCTGAGGGAGCTGTTATTCCCAATATAAAACAAGGCAGCAATAACCAGAACAGCAATTACAACCCACATCCATGGTTGAATTCGTCTCTTTCCCCGGTTGCGAATTGACATAGGTAGAGATTTCACCTTGTTCTGCTTCATGAATTGAGATGGTTTTACTGACCTTTTTGTTACCTCAACTGGTTTCTCACTCTGATCAGATTCTTCGATAGTTCTTGTCAGAGTTTCAGAGCTAGGAGAAGCTGCAGAATCTTGTTCTATTTTCTCCACAGCATCTTCAGTAGAAACTGCTTTTTTCTTTCCCTTCTTCCTTGCTCTTTTCTCCCTTTCCTGCACCGATATGCATGTATATGTTATATAGCTGAAGAGCTACAAATAAATAGTTTTCAAACCTAATAACTATGCACTTGCGTATAAAAAAATACAATCACATTTTATCATATAGATATTTGTGAAAATGCTTAAGAAATTAGTTAATATAATGTGACATTAAGTGATACGATTAAGATGCATGTGTAAAACCTTTTTATGGTGGTGCGATAGTTATTAAACTTATGGTTTTAGAACCAATCTAAGCCTTAATACAATTACCTTCTCTTTTTGCTCGGCTTCTTTTTGTGCCTTATACAGAGCCCTTTGTTGGGCCTTCTCTGCATTACGCTTTTTCCTTTGCAATGCCTCCTTAGCTTTCTCAATTTCCTCTAGCCTTTTCATTTCCTTCAGCTTTGCTTCTTCTTCCTCCTTCCTCGCCTTTTCAGCCTTTAAAATTCGCTCCTCTTCCTCCTTTGTTTTCACAGGTTCCTTAAGTTCCTTATCTTCATCAGACTCGTCCCCCCAACGACGAACTGGAATCGCTGACTTCTTCTCTGAAGGAGCAGGTTTTGCGGGCTTTTTAGCACTAGTTGTCTGACTTATTTCAGGTTTTTGTACTACAACCTTGGATGCGGGTTCAACTTTTGTATTAACAGTAACAGATTCTGTTGGTATTGATTTCTTTTGTAGTTCAGGAGCTGATCGCGAGACCAAAGAATCATCTTTGGTAGCTTTTTCAAAGAAGGTATTATTAGGAATCACTGGTGGCTCTTCATCAGGACCAAGCATTCGGCCATCGTAAGTTTGCAGTCTCCTCAGTGTACTCCTGGTGTTGCACCGGAGATAGTTCCTTCTGAACTCATCATTCTTCCACATCTCATGTATTCGCTCAGCCTGAATTGGTAAGTGCCAAATTCAAGTTTATTTTCCTAATAATGAAGTGCAGTAACAAAAAGATAATCTCTCTACTTGTTTCAAGTGTAAAAAAGGATCACCTCATCAATACATAAGCTTTGCACCTCCTCTTTCTTCCCTTGTACTGCTAGTTCTTGCGCTTTAATTGAAGCATTTTTATATTCCCAAAAATATTTGCTCTGCAGAAGAGTGAACAAAACTAAGCTCAGTATTTGCAATGAACATCGTATGTTTTTATAAAATAAGTCTAAATATTGTACTTCCATAACATAAAAAGTTACTAATATGTATCACTAAGAACACATCATCCAGCAGAACAGCCGAGTTCAGCAGATAAAATTTTAGGAAAACATAAAAAAAAAGGAGGAAAAAAAGGTTGAGGTGATGTGTATGCCTACTAGCACTAATCTCCAGACACTAGTCCTGAAAATGAGATATTCATTGTGCCGAAACAGCCTAAGCATTAAACTCTTTAATCCACAAAGGCGTGTGGCATTTGCTGTGCAGCACAAGCAAACCACAAAGGAACATAATCCTTTTGCACTAGCTTCTCAATGATCAATTATTACTTCATGGTTTTGATTTCCTACGTATATTTACAGAGCAGCTAGATTTCTATAAACAACTAGATTGCTATAAGATAATATTGGAACTCATACACAATCACCCCTAAATATGACATTAGTATCTCAAATAAATCTTCTGATGTTCTTACTGAATAAGCAGTTTTCAAGCTTCAAATTGTTGAATCCAAAACAACCGAAGAGTAAACTTTGTTCTGTTCTGATAAATAAACCAGATATTACTTCTAGGTTATGATTTCCTTCTTATATTTACAGAGCAGAGCAGCTAGATTTCTATAAGCAATTAGATTGCCATAAGATAATATTTGAACTCATACACAATCACCCCTAAATTTAACATGAGTATCACATAAACTTCCTAACTTCTTAGTGAATAAGCAGTTTTCAAGCTTCAAAATGATAAATCCAAAACAAACCAAGAATAAATTATGCTCTGTTCTGATTAAACAAAACAGATATCTCGCAACAATTTATTTTCTCAGGGAAGAAGTACTGAAAGCAAAAAGGAGTGTAGTAGCCAGGAAAGAAAGATCAAACCTTCTCATGTAATTTCCTTTTCAAAGTCTGTAGCTTGACAAAAGCTTCTTGACGAATGTCATCAGCAGTCTTAAATCGAGCCAGAACCTCACTCACTTGGTTACTTTCTTCATCATATTTCTTCTTTGCTGCTTTAGTTACTGCTTCTGCCTTCAGAACATTATTTCTAAGCACATCTAAATCCTTCCTCAAGAGCTGTAATTGCTGGAAATATTGAAGTCAAAGACAATGGAATTCAGCTAGTTGATAAAAAGATAGCGGTAGTTAATTCAGAAAATAGTAATGAAAAGAAACATGACTCTAGTACACCTTAGATTGCTCTTCAATATTGTCTTTTTCGTCAAGAGATTGTGATTGATTCTGTTTTGCTATAATACTAGACAGCTCGCCGCGACTCTGCTTCAATTGTTTGATTTGGCGTATCAATTGCTTTTCTTCTTTTAGAGGCAGAGTTTCGTGCTGAATCATGTGTTCCATGTTTCTAATCTGAAACCAAATTATAAATCTAGAGAAGTTAACACAACAAAACAGGCATAACAATCAAATCCTGGTAGATAATAAATATCACTGGAATAAAAAATGAAAGCATACCTTGCTATCAATATCCCCTACAGAAATTGCATTATTTAATCTATTCATGGTGGATTGAACTGAATCCATCTCCTGCCGTTTGGATTTGAGCAACTCCCTAGAAGCTCTCTCTTCTTGAACTGCAGCTCTAAATTCTTGCCCATGCTCTTTACAAATTGCCTGGTCGAATTATCAATCAAAATAATTATCTAACATCATATACTGTTCTTCATATTTCAGAGATATTTTCTATTTTGTTAATCAAACTAATAACATTCTAATATGTTCTGTTGTTGCATATTGCATACCTTTTTAATCTGGCTTTCAGCTCGAATTTCGTCACGGATTTTAGTCTTCTCTTCTACTTGTTGAAGAGCATGTTGAATCTGCTCTTTTATGTTTTCATCATCATCATATCTGGGAACCCGGATCAACCAATAGAAGGGCTTTCTCACCACCTCAGTGACCATATTCTGAGCATCCATAGCATCAGTGGCAGATGCTTCTTGGGATGTTTTCAAATCATCATTGGTCTGGATGCTTTCTTCGGCGGAAACTTCAGCTGAAGGTTCAGCTTTAACTAAAGGTTCTGCTTCAACTGAAGGTTCTGCTTCAACTAAAGATTCCGCTACACTACCCACAACATCATTTTTCAAACCTTGCACATGAAGAGAAGGTTCGGCTTCAACTGAAGATTCGGCTACACTACCCACATCGGTTTTTAAATCTTGCACATGAAGAGAAGGATCAGCCTCACTCTGCATCACATTGTTTGAAACTTCAACTTCATTCTCCACTGTTTCTGTTGAAGGTTCAGCTTCACTACCAATTGCATCGTTTTTCATCTCAGGCTCAGACACCTCAATAGATATACCATCACCGTTGACAGCATTATCAGAAGGTTCAGTCTCAGTCTCTTCTTCAATGTTTTTCGTATCAACAGAAGGTTTGTTTTCAATTACACCTTCATCGGCATCATCAGAAGTCCCTGACTTGATTAACTTTGCTAAATCTTTTCCTTGAAGAACCACTTGAGGTTCTGATATCTCAACAGACCTCTCCAATTCACCCATATCACTAGGAATCACTTTCCCCTCAGTGCTCTCCTCAACCTCGGCCAAACCATTTTCAACAACAGTAACAGAGACAGATTCACTCAATACCTTCCCTGAACCATTTTGACTATCTTCAACTGCACATTCCTCCAGGCCAGTATTATCACTGGCTTCATTATCATGGGTGGGAATTTCGTTTTTTTCAACTGATTCACTCACTTCAGCATCAACCACGGTTTCCAATTCAACATTAGGAATTTCGTTCTTCTCATCCGATTTGCTCACTTTAGCATCAACCACAGTTTCCAATTCAACATCAGGAATTTCGTTCTTCTCAGCTGATTCACTCGCTTCAGCATCAACCACAGTTTCCAATTCAACATCAGGAATTTCCTTCTTCTCAGCTGATTCGCTCACTTCAGCATCAACCACGGTTTCCAATTCAACATCAGGAATTTCGTTCTTCTCAGCTGATTCACTCACTTCAGCATTCACTGAAGTTTCCAACTCAGCATCATGAATTTCCTTCTTCTCAGCTGATTCACTGACTTCAGCATTCACTGAAGTTTCCAACTCAGCATCATGAATTTCCTTCTTCTCAGCTGATTCACTGACTTCAGCATTCACTGAAGTTTCCAACTCAGCATCATGAATTTCGCTTTTCTCAGCTGATTCACTCACTTCAGCATCAACTACATTTTTCAACACAGCGTCATGAATTTCGCTTTTCTCAGCTGATTCACTCACTTCAGCATCAACTACATTTTTCAACACAGCGTCATGAATTTCGTTCTTCTCAGCTGATTCACTCACTTCAGCATCAACTACATTTTTCAACATAGCATCATGAATTTCATTCTTCTCAGCTGATTCACTCACTTCACCACCAATTTCACTTTCCAATTCAGTATTGCAAAGTTTGTTCTTCTCATCTGAAACATCTACATCAACAACACTTCCACTCTCCACTTTTTCCCGGTCTTCAGATTCCGTTGTTCCCACCACATCAGAATCAACAGACTCCACAGCTTCTGTAGAAGCAACAGCAACTTCTTCAACAGCAACAGGAATCTCGATCTCTTCAACATCTCCTTCCCCATCCCTATCCACGGCACTGTTTTCAACAGCTATACCTTCCAATTCACAATCACTCTTGTCCACGTCAGCAACAAGGCCAATCTCGTTCTCCGCAACGGCACTGTTTTGAACACTCTCCAATTCAAGATCCTTATCCTTCAATTCATCCACCTCTACAAAAGAATCAGTAACTTCACGAATCTCGTTCTGATTCTCCACAGCACACTCATTCGGATGTTTATCCAACACACCGTTTGGAACACTTGTGAATTCGTTAACGTCACCAGCCTCCGCAACAGTATCAGTAACATGAACGTTATTCACATCAGATCCCGAACCGTTTTTACGAATCTCTCCTTCCCGCTCAACGACATCAACAGTAGTCGTTTCGTCAACAGAACCATTAGAAACTACACAAGGTTCTTCCGGAATTACCTTAACTTGAGATTCACCTTCCACCTTGTGATCTTCCAACGCTACACCATTACCGTCAACGGTGACGATCGGATCTGAATCAACGGAATCAGAAACGACTTCGGCACCGACATTACCGTTCTCAGAAATGTCTTTACCACGAACATCGCCATTGCAATGCTCCGTAACGATCTTGTGATGATCTTCGGCGGCGTTATCGGAATTTTCTTTGCTGTGTACGTTCAACACCTCCTCCGCTGTCATTGCGCTTCCTGAAAATCTCAACAACAAAAAATTGAAAAGGCGTTCGGATCAAAATCAAATCGAATCGTGATTTTGAACGGATCAAACAAATAAAATTGAGGAAAAGGTGAGTTGCTTACGGAGATGAAGTGTGAGATGAAAATTGTAGGTCAAATTGAAGAAGTAGGAGAGGGGATTAAAGAGAACTGCAAATAAAGGAGTTGGATGGGAACACAGAAAGAGATGTAGATGCAGATAAATAGCCGACAGAGAAGAGAAGAGCAAAATAAAGGAGAGAAAGGTAATGTCAGTCTTTTTTTTATACTAACCCTTATTTAAAATAATTTGAATTTTTTCTTTTTCAACTCTTTTATACTAACCCTTATTTAAAATAATTTAAATTTTTTCTTTTTTAATTCTTTTTATTTTTGTAAAAGAACGCGTTATATTTATTTATTCATATTATTTTTTAAATTTTAAATATAAACAAAAATTAAATTACTAATTATTGATGTATCTTATTTATATTTAAGACTAAATACTTAAAACAAAAATAAATAGTTTATGTTAAAAATTAAAATAAAAAATATTTTATTAATATTTTATTGTATGATTGTTTTATATATATATATATATATATATATATATATATATATATATATATATATATATATATATATATATATATATATATATATATATATATATATATATATATATATATATAACTTATCATATTATTGCCTGAGTAAATAAATTAAACAATTTTTATGTTGTTTTTCCTCTGTTAAAATTCTGTTTTAATAAATTTTAAGTTAAGAATTCCATTGCCAACCTCATTTATTATAGATCATGTAATAGTACATATCAATGAGATATTCAACGTAACGTGAGTTTATTTGAGGATTTCTTACATGTACTAGTATGAATTTATGATATGGTAGGATAAGATTGATAATGATGCAATAGAATAGTTTCTAATATACATGTATCAATTTATGATATGGTAGGAAGAGAGTTAAATAATGATGCAATAGAATAGTGATATGATAACCATTTTCCTATATTTGGTGCACCCGTCTGTAAAAAAACAAGCTATTGTTATTTTATTATGTTATATGTTTAATATATATCTGATAGTGACATACTCCTTATTCTTATTTATAATTAGAAAATAAAATATTTTTAAAATTCATTAATAACATAATGTATATACACAAGATAAATTATTCCTATAAATAAAATATTTTTGGTAAATTATTTAAAATTTTTCCTACAAATTATAATTTTTAATTTAACTTATTCCTATAAATAAAAATTTTCCTATATTATATATATATATATATATATATATATATATATATATATATATATATATATATATATATATATATATATATATATATATATATATATATATATATATATATATATATATATATATATATATATATATATATATATATATATATATATATATATATATATATATATATATATATAAAACAATTTTATTATGCTCAAAAGTAGTCCAAATTCATTAAGACAACTCTTGGCGAGCATGTGCGGAAAACAGAGTCGCCACCGAACTTTATTTATCCCAAAGATGGAAAGGAAAATATCGATAAAACCTTTAGGAAAAGAACATGGTCATCGCAACCAAGTTATAGGTTCGGGAGTCGGTTACATGAGGGGAAGGTATTAGCACCCCTCACGTCTGTTGTACTCAACGGGAACCTCTTGATTCGATTCGTGAGAAATGTTAGGTCAGATTGTTTGTTTTCTTCTAAGGAAATAAAGTGAAAAGATAATATAAAAGAGTTTAGAATGGCTAAGGGGATAATGGATGGTTTTAGATTAGGGTGCTCGCCAAGGATTAGGGCCCTTGTGCCTACATATCTTCACTTGTATGAAGTGAAAATTCAGAGTGTCCGTAGTTCGTGGAACTACGGGAGAAAAAGATAGGAGGTTGCTCGCTAGGATCTCGCAATCCTATGCTTATGTATTCTCATTGAAAAATGAGAAATCAGAGCGTCTGTAGTTCAGAACTACAAGAGAAAAAGAGAGGAGGTTGCTCGCTAGGATCTCTCAATCATATGCCTACGTATGTTGGTTTGATTATATCGAAAGATACTTAGTCGCATTCGACAGAAAATATTGTTTTACCCAAACAGGTGAGGAGGGGACGCTTGCATCACTTTGAATGGATTTCCATATTCAACATTCACGGGAAACACGCCACTTATCTCAACTTAAATAGGTTACGAACGAAGCAATATTTTGCGTCGTCTCAAGACACCATATCTCACGTTTATGAAAAGGTTTGACGGTTCGTACGGCGGCGAGAAGTTGAATTTATATGTTGATGTATTTGATTGAATGACGATTACTTGAAACTTAAGAAAGGCTCCTCAGGCTCAAGTAATCGGGAAAGTGAGTCAAAGGCATGGCTCTCTCTCTCTTTTTCATCTTGAAAAGAGGTTATGTTTGGAAAGTGTTTTGATGGAAGATAGTTAAAGTATTTTAAACGGATGAGGATTACTTGAAGGTTAAGAAAGGCTCATCGGGCCCAAGTAATTGGGAGAATGAGTCAAAGACTTGACTCTCTCTCTTTTTCATCTTATATTATGAAAGAGTTTTGATATAGCTAGAGTAAATTACGAATGACAATTACTTGAAGCTTAAGAAAGGCTCCTCGGGCCCAAGTAATTGGGATAATGAGTCAAAGGCTTGACTCTCTCTCTCTCTCTCTTTCATCTGAGTGATTGAGAGAATAAGTTTGATTTTAATTGGGTTATAAATCTTTTGGAGAAGACAATTGTTCGAGCTTAAGAAAGGCTCATCGGGCCCAAACAATTGAGGAGAGAAATCAAAGACTTCATTCCAACTCCATTTTCATCTTTTATTGAAATACAGTCTATGTATAATTAAGTTCATTAAGTTGACTTTGGTAGAATGATCGATGTTCATCGAGGTTTTAAATTTGCGTATGGAAAATTTAATGGTTTCAACCTTAGGGTTTCGACTCGAACCATCATATAAGACAATATACAAGTAAAGAAAAGCAATTGAATTGAATTTTAATCGTGTATACTAGCAAAGTGGGTTAGTCTCCTAAATGACCAACTAGATATAATTGATCAAATAGGTCTCACTGTAAGAAAGCTCAGAAGTAAGCTTTGAATGTTGTGTATAGTGACCAAAAGGTTGACGGTGATACTTAGAAAGCAATCCACTTACAAGGTGGAAAACGGCTCGACGAATCGAGAAGTTATTTTGAAAATGGTTTAGGTTATGCAAATCCATAAGGGTACTCCTTAGTAAGAAACCACAACCAAAGAAAAGCAAATAAAGAACATACATAAAAAAGGGAGCAGGGTACATATAAAGTACACGAGATTGCAAGAAATAAAAGGTTTCACTATCAGGTGGCCCAAGAGGAAGTCGTACGCGTGCAAATGTCCTAAGCTAAAGTAAGGGAGAATAGAGATAACCACAATCTGCAGCTTCTTTTCTAGGGTTTCTGTTAAGTGTCTCAAATTCCTGATGCCAAAGTTACTAGTCACAGTCCATCATTTGAAAGCTTTTAGGGTTTCGACAATTTTAACATGTTTTTTTTGTGTGTTTTTCTTGAATGAGATGAAAATGACAAAATGAATATGAATAACGATAATATGATGGCAATGATATATAGACAAAAAGATGAAGCAAGATAATGAAAATAAATTAAAGTCAATGGTTAATCAGATGATCACTTTTCGAATCGGTTCCAATGTAGTGCTAAACCATCGTAACACGATCTATGAATAAGATCATGCTATAGGAGGCCGCTCAATAATAATTTTGTGCTAAAACATGATAGAGAAATGATATGTAGATCATTCTTAAAAGAATTGTGTCACACGAAAAGAAAAGAGGATGGTCTTGTCTTAAACGTAAACTTTTGTGGATTAATCGAAGGTAACCTATCACGATCCCAAAGTATAAAAAATAATCTTGATGATCATTCACTACAGATTTGAAATAATGAAGGTTAAACAACCTCAATAATCAACATTCACGATTTAAAAGACTTCATCGACCAATAATTAAAAATATAAAATCAAAATGAGAAAAAATCGAAAATAAAACGTAAAACGAAAATGAAAATAAATCATGAATTTAAGATTCAAGAACAAATTAAAATACTATAAAACAAGAGTTATTTAAAGAAGAAAAAAAAGGAAAATAAAAAAATCCAAAGTGAAATAAAAAATAGAATAAACAAAATTAAAGCTAAATTAAAGGAAAGGAGGTGCAAGACGAGAATAAGTGTGTTAAGAGTGGAAATCACATGGGCTCATGAGCCCATCATCCTCCAAACACAGTTGATTTTAGAAAGAAAAGGTGGTATGTTTAGTAACTCTCAACGGGCCATGAGCCCATCTAAATGAAACAAGGGTGTGTAGAAAAAAACTCAGCCGCATTTTTTTATATATAAAAAAAAGAAATGGAAAAAATTAAAGCAACAACAACTACCCTTTTTGAAACAATTCATGCTTTTTTTTTATAAACACTTCATCATCACTTTAAAAGAACAAACCCAATTTTATGATGTTTCAAACAATGAAGAAAATCAAAAGATAAACAAATCATGAAAGAACAGCGAATCACAAAGGTATCTCTATTTCCAACTTTATACTCTTTCTTGTCTCAATTGCTTCCACCTCCTTCCAGGTTTGATCGTTCTCTTTTTCTCAAGTTTATAATTTTTGATTTGGTACCAATTCGTTTCGCTTCCTCCTATTCTTCTACTTCATCTCTCTTTCTGGTTTGATTTATGCGATTTGGGGTTTTTGTTGTTGAACATTGAGGGTGGGTTATTGTTTGTGGGTTTGAATGAAGGGTTGAAGGATTTGAAGAGGAAGAAGAAGGTTTAAGGTTAGGTTTGAACAGAAGGGGATACGAAGAAAATGGAACGAAGAAAGGATTAGAGGAAAAGTGAGTTATGTGTTTGTATGGATTTAATGGGGAGTTTATGG